TGTTCAAGGATCCTTACTGCATTATCTCATGACCACCTTGTGAGTTAAAGACTGTTACAGAAGTGGAAATTGAGGCATAGAGCCTATGGCCCAGGCACTTATGGGAGGTAAGTTCTATTCTCACTCAGTGACATGATGCTATAGATTTTCATTAATTAGGTCCCCAGAGTTGGATCCCTAGAAGCCTGTGGGACTTAAAGTCATTGAAGGACTTGGATGCCTTGCCACATTCCGAGATCTAGAAAGCTGTGGGGGAAGATTTAGAAAATGTGATTTTTGAAGTATAGGGAAAATTGAGGCACTCTGCTCAGCTAAGAGGCAGCAGGGAGGCAGTCAGCCCCGTTTCTTGTAGAAAAACATGGTGGGTTCAGCATCAGTACCTGAACAGAAGCTATAGAGGGGCTGGCTTCATCATTTTAAAATGAAGACCATCCAAGGAACACAGTTGTTTGAAACCAAGCGGGTGTGTGATATTAGGTGATACTGAACTTCCTATCCCTGAGGATGTCCAGAGCCAAGCAGGGGTGGTCTGGGATCGGGAATATGCTGTTGAGGAAATTCCTGTACTGAGTGAAATGGCTTAGGGTGATGTGGGACGTCTGTTTCAGCCAAGATAGGCTGTTGGTCTGATCTTCAGGGTGGGTAGATTAGTAGTGCGGGCTCACCCAGACTTCAGTAGGAGAATCATGAAACCTATTGAGGAATCGTCTGTAATGGAGAGGAACAAGAGACAAGGGCACTCCCCACCTGATTGGCAGGTAGCTCCAACCTCACAGTAGATGTCTGTCCAAGATCTTGGAACTTGAAGCAGTGTCTTGTGCTTAAAATTTCCTGCTCTGTGGGGGTCACTCGGATGCTCGATTTATCCACTTTCACGGGTTTCTCTTTAGCATCCTGGCTCACTGAAATTCTTCCCTTGGCCTCTGACCTTAAGGATAGCATGGCACGTTCTTAACCTCCACCCAGGTCTCTTGCGCTGGCATCTCGAACTGCCCTCTTCTTCTAGCACAAGATGAGCCCAGTTACTTCCGCACAGCTCGTTGGAACAGCAAGTTCTTCAGAGTCCTGCCTCCCACTGTCTTCCCAGGTGCTCCTCGTGAAGGGACTCTGGCCAGCTCACAGTTGCCACTCAAGACCACAGCTCCTTTCCCAGCTCCCACTTAGAAACGAGGTCCTAAATCTGCTCAAGCTAGAAAGTTACGCAGCAACGATCCCCGATGCAGACTGATGTTGTAGGAGTGAGACGTGGTGGGTGGATCCACAGTACTTAGGGTCTGAGCTGCATCCCAGAAACGCGGCCGCTGACCCAGAAGTGTGGGCTCATTGGAAAGGGTGAAAAGGGGGTGACCAGGAGGGCGTAGGTGTCTGCAGGGGGTGAAAGACCAGGAGAGTAGTGGTTGCTGGGGTCAGCATGCCATCTCTTTTGCTTCCCAGATTTCTACTCCCTTCCCAGGTTGCAGGGATTTTGAGACACTGTGCATCCCTCCTTGGCTGTCAAGCAGAAGTTTCAGGCATTCACACATCTGAGGTGGTTTCCTTAAGACAGAGCCTTGGGTTTGATTTCTTGTAGCCACACAAAAAGCAGAACCGCTGTGCCCTGCTAGGCAGTCCTGTCTGGCCTGTGTGTTTGAAGGCTTCCTTGGAGCTGTTGGGAGCCCTTGGCAACTCCTTTAAGACCTTGCATCTGTCTCGATGTAAAACCTTTCTAGAGCTTTGAATTCTGCACAGGGAAACAAACAAACAAACTTTCTTCCTTCTTGTCTCTTCTTGGTCAGCGGTGCGGGGGAAGGTGCGGGGGGGTGCACTGGTGAGCTTCCTCATTTAGGAACCTCCATCTGGCAATAGAGAAGATGGGGACAGATTAGCCTGATTGTCTGGATGCTGAGATGAGTCATATCTCCAAGACACAGAGGCCACACACTGGGAATGCAGTTTGATATGACAAGTCATCCTTCTTTGTCAACCGGGACATTTTTAGCAAGATGGTAAGATACTCCACATGCTCTGGATACCTGTTGGCTGAGAGGCGGGGTCTATGCCAGATGTCCTATTCCCTCCCCCAACTCTGGCTGTCTTTGCCTGGTTTTCTGTGGGCTGTCGGGGCTGCAATGGCCGTGAAAGTTCAAAGGTCTCTGTGTGTACATGTTTCGGTGCATGTACAAGTGTGTACGTGCATGTAGAGTCCAGAAGTTGATGTCTCACCATTTCCTCCATTGCTCCCTACCTTATTTTTTTTTTTTTGAGACAGGGTCTCTCTGAATCTTGCTGGCTTTCATTTGCCAGAGATCCTCTTGTCTCTACCCTCCCCAGTGGTGCTAAATCCATTTTTTTTTTTAAAAAAAACTATAGATGCTGAGTCTTCATGCTTGTGTGGTCAGCACTTTATTGATGAGAGCCATCTCGCCAGCCCCAAAGTTCTGTTTTTGCAAGCAACCGAGATACTCAGCTCATTTTATTCTGAATGGAAGCTACTGTGAGCCCACAAGCAATCCCTCTTCCTTTCCAATGCCCCTTTACCCAAGGTGCATGTAGAAGCACAGATGATTCAAGCTGGAGGGGCTCTGAAGCCGCCCCTCCCATGCCTATCAATCACCGTGGGAACTTCTTAAAATGTTTCCTTTACAGAGTCTCTGGTGGGGCCCAAGCTTTCAGGGACTGTGGGTGTCGCCAGTTAGAGGAGAGCAAAGATTCTGTTCAATGTGGTTATTTCATGGATGTGGAAGCTGAGGCCCAGAGTGTAAGAACGTTTGTCCAGGGTCATAAGTAGAACCCCGTTCTTCCCACTTGCAGTCCATCTACATGAAAAAGAGCCTTCTTCATTTTAAGCATTACTTCCTGAGCAGGCTCAAGGCTCTTGCAAGACTCTCAGCACCCTAACCTCAATCTCACCCACTGTCAAGAAGGAAAGACCTCTTGTCCCATCCGGGTCCCTTAATTCACAGCCTGAATCTTCCATTTCTGATGAGGTTTCTAAAGTGACTTATTCTTTTCAGGAAGTGTTAAAATATCATCTCTGTCTTAAGAAAAAAAACCACATCAAAAAACGGGCAGGGCGCACTTTAAGATACAACCATGTTTTGCTCCACACTAGAACTGTTAAACCCACTTGGCAGTTGCTACTCTGTCTCGCCTTGGGTGTTTTGAGAAATGCTCCGGGGTCTTCCTCTTCTGCTATGTTCCAATAGAGGCCACCCTCCAGTGTGTTGGCTACCCCTTAGTCTCTGTGCTTCCCAGAGAACCCCAAAGTCACTCAGAATGGCACTTGAAGTGTCAGGGAGATTCCCAGTGGACAAGGACACCAGGGACTGGCCTGAGGCCAGTAGGAATTGGTTTGAGAGTCTAAGGCTGTCTCCACTCTGTCCCCTCCTGCTGGCGGGAGGGCAAAATGCCATTCTGGGGACAAGGCCATCATGGCGACAGGGTGTAAAAGTCTCTTTGAGGCCAAAGGAAGGCAGAATGTAATGGGAAGTCAGGAAACTGCCTTTTATAGGCATGTTCTTTTCTTCCCCCCCTTTCATCCAAGTTTACTCCCTGCAAAAAGTGCCACGGCAAGACATCGGGTCTGTAGGTTGGGGGCATAGGGGCAGGCTGGTGGCACTGCAATACCCCTTCCCCCATCTTGCCTGCAAGTTGCATGACCTGCATCGGAATCCACAGGGGGGCGGGGGAGAATCCTTTCAGATCCTGGATGAGGTTGAATTCAATGCATTTTGCTTCCTCGCCTGCCCTCACCCAAGCTTGGGGAGGAGAGCGCCGCTTTCTTCTGCGTGTGAATGCTGTAGTGTGTCTGCCTGCTCGGACTCCCCTAACCCTTTCTTCTCCTTTCCCACAGCCAAATCTCAGACTTTCTCAGGAAACAGCTCTCATTTGACATATTTATATTTTATTTTTTAAAAAAACCTATCAAGACTAAAAGCGTGGAATATACTTCTCTCCCCACCGGGTCTAAACTTGCCTCGAAGGCTGCACCTGTTTTGCGCCCCTACCAGGAAGGGGTGTTTGGGGGGAGGGAAAGAGGGAGGTTCTGCGCCCCCCAAATCCGGAGAAAGCAGCCCTCCCGCCCCCTCACCCGGCTGCCAGCTCAGCGCACCCGAGGGCTGAGCCTAAGAAGCCGACCTCTGACGGCGCTGGCGTGGCGCTTGCCAAAAAATGCCCTTTGCATCTCAATTTCCCGACCGTTTCTTTCGCTTGTATCGCTCGCCCAGGGCCACCTCGGTTCTCCAGCGCAGTCTTGCAGGCACTCCTTTCCCCTCCATTCCTTCTTTCTCTGCTCCCTGCTTGCCCAAGGCGGAACCCAAAAGGCACCGCCAAGAAGGAGCAGTGGGCATGGGGGCACCCAGAGTGCCAGGTCCCGCAGTCCCCTCCCAAGCCAAGCCCAGATCCCGGGACTCTCGATTACCCAAATGAGTGTCATTCAGGTCTAGGCACATCTGTGGCCGGCGTCCCTGGCTGCCTCTCTCGGGTTCCTGTGCGCTCCTGTTCCCCGTCACTGTCTGCGAGCCTGTGCCCCTCACCCAGGCTGGGGAGCACCCCGGGTCACCTCGGCCGCGCTCATTTCACTTCCTCCCGCGGAAGAGATTGCAGCAAAACCGGGCAGCACAAGGGCCAAAAAGTGGAAGGGAGAACGCCTTTCGTGTCGCGCATCCAGCTTGCCAACTCTCCCTCCCCAGCGCCGACCCTCGGAATCCCAACTGCAACTTTTTCCCTTCCGTCTTGGTTTCCCCTCGTCTGCGGCGAGCGGTCGCGGGGCCGCTAGGCTTGGGGCGGGCGGGCAGCGGCGCGGCTACGGGTGGCGGTACCGGCGAGAACCGAGAGCCGGCGAGTGGGTGGGTGGGTGGGGAAGCAGGAGGGAGAGGACGAGCGGGGAGAGAAAGGGGTGTGGGGAGGGGAGGGAGGGGGAGATTCCGCTCTCCTGCCTCTCCCAGCCCGGGCGGGGGGCGGGGGGGGGGAGGAGGCCGCGACGAGGGAGGAGAGGAGGGAGGGGAAGAGGGAGGGAGGGAGCCGAGGAAGACGCTCCGATAACCCGTGCGTTTCGTAAGGCTCGGAGCACTTGTACATTTCTGCAGGCGCGTAGCGAGCCATTCGCGGCTGCTGCTGCTGCAGCTCTGACTGCATCTTCCTCCTCCTCCTTCCTCCAGCTCCACGCGTGTGTATGTGAGTGTGTGCGAGTGTGTTTTGCAGGTGTGCCCGTTTTAATTCTGCCCAGGAGGTGGGACTTGGTGACTTTAGCACCATTTTTTTCTCTTTTATTATTATTATTTTTTGCCTTCCCACCGACTGTTGTTGCAACCCTGCAAAGTATCGGAGTCGGAGAGTGCGCCTCGTTTCCAGAGCTCCTGGACCCCGCAAGCCGGCGAGCGCCGAGCCGGCCACCATGCCCGGCAGACCGCGCCACTAGGCGCTCCCCGCGGCTCCCACCCGGCGGCGGCGGCGGCCGCGATGGTTTCCGACGCTGAAGGATTTTGCATCTGATCGCTCGGCGTTTCAAAGGCAGAGGCCCCCCTCCCCCTTCCCCCTCCCTTGCCGTCTTTGTTTCCTTCCCCCCCTGCTCTCCCCACTCCCCCCACCCCACCCCCCTCTCCTCTCCTCCTCCTCCTCCTCTTTTTTAGAAGCAGCGATCGGAGATGGATGTCTCTCTTTGCCCAGCCAAGTGTAGTTTCTGGCGGATTTTCTTGCTGGGAAGCGTCTGGCTGGACTATGTGGGCTCGGTGCTGGCTTGCCCTGCAAATTGTGTCTGCAGCAAGACTGAGATCAATTGCCGGCGGCCGGACGATGGGAACCTCTTTCCCCTCCTGGAAGGGCAGGATTCAGGCAACAGCAATGGGAACACCAGCATCAACATCACGGACATCTCAAGGAATATCACTTCCATGTAAGTCAGGCGGCCGCTGCCCAACCCGCCCCCCCCTCCACTCCACGCCCCAGCTCCGCGTCTCCCTCTTGCCCGCCCGCGGCCCGGGAACCGGCCCTGCGCTCCCCAGCTCGCCTCTGCTCGCAGCCTGCCGGGCGCGCGTCAGGCTCGCCCTGGCTCGGGAGATGCTATAGGGCTGCGTGTTCCAGGTGACTCCTGCCCTAGCCAGGCGTGATCGGATGATGCTGGTGGGTACCTCTCCCTGGAGAGGACCCTTCCGGGCGGAGGGCACCCGGGGCCCAGCTCCTGTCCCTGTCTCCACCCTCTTGCCGGCTTGTTTCGAGGGTGCGAAATGGGTTCTTTGCCCCCCACTAAATAGCAACAGTTTGGCTACGCTCAAGTGGTATAAAGTAGAAGGCGGCTCGGTTTCCTGACAGGCGGTGGCGGATAGCGGCAGCAGAGGCAATGCTTAGCTGAGAAGGGAAAGTGACAGATAGGGACTGCTTGGGAATCAGTTGAGATTTTTTTTTTTAACTCTTTCCTTTTGGAGACAGCAAAACGTGCCAATAAGTAAACAAGTTGGGAGCTTGCTGCTCCCGAGGAGACTTCGGACGTGTTCAGGCCGTCATGGACGCCTACCTCTTTGCTTTTCCTTTCCCCTGCCGCCCTCTCCAACCCCATTTTGGGCATTTCCGAGATATTCCCCCCCCTTTCCCACCCTCTTCTGCATCTGAGCGCCTACAGACCCTTTCCTGGCTTGGGCTTCTTTAACTGCCCAGGATAATTCTGAGTCAGGCTGCTGGAGGGAGAAGAGAGGAGGACCCCTGTTTTGGGAAGGAGATTCCTTCTACAATTCTGCGATTCTGTTTATTTCAAAAATTGAACTCTGCTTGGCGTTTGCCTGGTTTGCCCCGTCTGAGTGGGACCTGCGGTGGCAGTGGTGGCCTGCTCTTTTCTTCTTGTTGTGTTTCTTTGGTAGAGATAGGGACCAGAGGCCTGGGAGGGAGAGAAAGGAAGAGCTCAGGCAGCCTGAGCCGGCATAGCATTTCTTTCATCCCTCAGCCAGGTGACCACCACCCCTCCTACCCTGCTGCCGCCCCCCCCCCTCAAGGGTATGAATGCCCCTGGGATGTTCAGAGGATACCTCATTGCTTTTTGTCTCAGGGCTTCTAAAGGATGGCTAGAAAGGTGGCCGGGCTCTGGGGGGGCGTTTAGGGTAGATCTTTTCCCTGGCGACAGACTGGAGCAAGAAGGGACTCAGTGTGCTATGGACACTGCCTACTCAGGGTCCACCTTCTCTTGGCTCCAGCCATTGCCTCAGGGCTACAAAGCCGGAAGGAATTGCAGTCCTTGCCCTCTCCAGAGCCCACCAGCCTTCTTGGTTCTTGCAGCTTACACTTTGAGGGAAATGGGCAGACCTAGGAAATGTCCCTGACTCCTGGTCCAGGGGACAAGCCTGACCCATATCTTAGCTCTACTATTCACTCCTTACCACCTTCAGCCTGGCTGAGGATGACCAGATAGACAACCAAGGGGGAAGGGGAAGGGAGAGGAGGAAAAGGAAAAAGCCTCTTCCCCCTCACAGGCCACAGTGCCCATCCAGTAAATCTGAGGATGCCAGGGGCAAGGTCTGGAGGGGGCTTGTCAGGGAAGCTGGTACCTGGACGTGCACCCTCTGGGGGCCTCTGGGTGGAGGGATGGACAGAGCAAGTGTAGTGGCTTCTGCTCTGGAGCTGGGCTTGGAGAATTTCAGGTGATTGGCTGTGCCAAGGGTTGGAGAGTTTGGGAGTCGGTGAGCTGTGTCTGCTTGTTCTCTGCTCCATGGCTGTGCAAATCCCAGGGAACCCTCAGGGAGGCAGGGTTGATCATAATCACATAGGCTCTTTTTGGTCACACAGAGATGTCACACCTCTAAAAAGGAGGCTTGGGAAAGCAGTTCCACAGGGGAGAGTAGGTTTGGTCTTTCCTGGAGACATTGTTGGGAGAAGGGGACACAGGTGGCCTCTTGCTCCCCTTGGGCATTAGAGATCCCCAGGAAAGTGCCAGCGGCAATATGAGCAGGGAGTGGATCAGGAGCCCCTTGGCATGTGCTGGACTCTCCTAAATCCGCCTGACACCACAGAGTAAGTGGTGGGGGAGGTCAGAGGTCAGGGCTTGGATGACCCCTTCTCACCCCATCTTTCCCCCAGTGTCCTATTACATGTGTGTCTGGTATTGACTAAAACTCAAGGGCCCAGACTCCCAGTCCGGAGGAAGAGAATCTCAAGATGGGAGGGGAGTCCTTCTCATCCAGGGATGAACGTGCCCTCATTCCCAGCGTACCCCTTTAGAAATGGAAGATTACGGAAAAAGGGAGCTTTTCCCAGGCCTAGCATCTGATTCTAGCATTGAACACTGGTCTGCCTAACATCCCAACCAAGGCCCTACTGGAAGGGGTGGGTGCTCGAAGGCAGAGAGGAACACAGAGCAAGGGAGGGCCCAGCCATCGTGTGGCCTGGGAAGGTGCCCTTCAGCTGTGTTTCTCGAGGTATAGGGTCAGGAGGGGCATGGCCTGTTAGCCTGGAGCTATGGGTGATGGCATGCAGCTGGACAAATTCTGTGCATGGACAGACAGTTTCTCAGGCTGTTCTAAGGTATCCTCAGATAGTGAACTCTGAGTGGAGTTTTTAGACAGACACGGTTTGTTTCCTCGTAGCCCCAGTTCTCTTGAGGTGCCAGTTGTGGTGACTCTATCCATCCAGAGCTTTGAGTGGAAGAAACCCTACCCTCTTGACCACCCTGTTAATATGAGGGGGAAATGAGCCGCGAGACTTCGGGGAAGAAGTGTGGGTCTTGCTTCCGTTCATAGTCCAGCTGCTCCAAAGGACGCCCCCCCCCCCCAGTTCCCTTCCTCCCTTCGGTTCCATTTCTGTTCCAAAGGGCAGCCTTTGTGCTACTGTAGCTCTTAATACACCATAGACTCATCCAGAAGGGTCCATGGGCAGCCACACCCTACCAGGCTCTGACGACACAAAGGCCGGAGGGTAGTGGGCCAAGATGGTGGCTGCCTGAGACTGCCTCCTTAGGCCAAGTCTACGGGATTGCGTTGGTCTGGGATAGTATGTCCTTTGAGTGGTTGGATGAAGATGAAGGTAGAGAGAGTGCCTTCGCTGGGGCAGATGTTCTTGAGATGGGTTGCCTGGACTTGCAAAGACCATGTACTGGTGGCTGGGCGCTGAGCCGCCATTTGTATATTCACCTGAATTGCCACAGGGTTCTAGGTGTCTGGCAGGTTCTTAAGTTCTGTATTTCCCATTCCCTTGGAAAACTCTCTGCTGACCGAAGGGTCATCTGGGGCCTCGGTTCGCTAGGCTGCTCGGTTCTAAGGACTGAGATGGGTGGCCCAGTCTCGACAAAAGCCGGCCAGAACTGGAATCCTAGTTAAAGTATGAGCCAGTCCCTAATAGCTCCAAGGCCCCGGTAGTTAGACAAAGGGTTCAGAGCCCCAGGATTGGGGTTAAGCCTGAGAGAGATAGAAGGAGTTGAAACGGGCCTTGGAGGTGCGAGTAGAAAGGGATGAGGTTATACCCTGGATAGAGCGATCGCCAGGAAGGTAGCCGGAGCCCTGGACTTCTTTGGTGGCAGAATTTCATATAGTGGTCAGGTTGTTGATGGGCGTCAGCATCTCTCGTGACCCAGAATCAAGTTCAAGTATGCCCAGGATGCTAAACTCTCAAAGTACCCCTGGGGCCAAGGACACCAGCTCTGAGGCTACCTGAAAGCTGAGAACATGCTAGTTTGAACACATCTTGTGGAACTCTGGTTGCAGCTTTGAGAGTGAGCCCTTGGATGGTGGGACCAGGAGGGCTGAGATGAGGTCTGGGAGATTCTTTACGGTCCTGCAGGGTTCCAGTTGCTCTCTATGCCTTGAAACCCCAGTCCTTGCCCGGGCAGACTTGCCAGCTGACCCTTCATGTTTGGAAAGGATGATGGTTTCATTCCAGATGTGTCTTGGGTATGTGGTATGTATCTATGCTCCTTCCTGTGGATGGCTCTTACCAGTGTCATGACATTTCTCCCACCTCAGCGACCCATTGAGTGGCTCTTGCAGCGATCACGTGCTTTTGAGGGGCACAATGGCAGTCTAGGAATAAGGAAAGAACAGGATACAGTGAATTATAACTTAGCTTTTCCCCATCTGCCTTGGGATGTCCTGGATTGCTCCAGGCACCCACAGCCTGCACATCTAACTATGAATCCAGGCCTTGGGTCAGAGTGTCCCTTCCAACTCTGGCATCTGCTGTCTCAGTGCCAGGAAACATCCCCCAGGAGGTTTAGCCAGGCCTCATTTAAGGGCCCCTCTTGGACGATTGTAGTGACTCTGTGATACCACCAGGAGGAGGGCATAGGCGAGCTCACCCTCCCTGGCTGTGAGCCACTGCCTTTTCCCCATCTGCTTTCCCACTTCTGGAAAACCCAGGTCACCCAGAACCTGCCAGGATTTGTGACACAGGACCCTGTTTGTCATGAACGACTGAGACCAAACGCCACACTTCAGACTGTTTGAGGGTCCCTGACCTTTCCTTAGCGGTTGAGCAACTGACTCCATGACTTGCCTTCCCATTCCTGGGCCCAGGCCTAGAGGAGATGTCCTTGTGGAGATGTCCTCCTTGTGCTGGAGAGAGGTCTCCACTGTGTGTAGGAAAATATTAGAACATCCATCTCAAATTATTCTTGCCGATAACGGGAGATATTTAATATTTAATGTACGGATTGGCGATATCTAAGCATATAATAACTTAATAAATATGAGTGTTTGGGGGTTGTAAGATAAATATTTTATTGCCAAATCATGCATAATCAGAACAACATGGTGCCCTTGGTGTCAGTGGAGGACTCCGAGTTTGAGAGGGGGTGGGACAGGAGAGGTGATTTGGGGGTCTTTGGCTATTGCATGCAGTGCTTTGATGAAGTGGTTTGTTAACTGGTATGGAGAGAGGGGATGGAAGATGGGACCTGACTCGGTGGGCACAGGTGTATTC